ATCCCTCCCAAGGGATTCAGGTCTTAAACTTAGTTTCAGGAACTGGACAGTCTTCGATGACTGGGTTTCAAATGGTGGAGCTTTGGGCCTGGGAGACTGATGGAGAAAGTTGTCACTGGGGCCATTGGCCCATCTCATGTTCCTCTGTGGGGGACCTTCTCCCAAGACAGTGGCTAGGGCTGCCGCTTCTCTCTAGCTGTCCAGGAGCACTGCTGATATCTCCCCCTCTCCCTCTCCTGGTGCCTACAGCACCCCACTTGTCCATTTCCCTTGGTCCTTGCTTGCCAATGTCCTTGGGGTCTCCATGCCATCTTCCTCTAGAACTGTGGACTCGCTGTATGAAGAGCTTGTCTTTTTTGGCCTTCTAAAGAAGAGTGTGGCAGTGGCGTTGAAAGACTATGTTGGTGAGCCCACCCCACACGCCTGCTCCCAGGGTGGCTCCTGCCCTGGTCCACAGCCTTGCCTTCCCAAGCCCTTCTTTCTCTTGGATGACCCATGGGAAACTGCTCACCCTGTCCCCTCAGGTGACTGCCTCTATCTTGGGTCTGCTCTGTGTTTGGCCAACAAGTTGCGCATGCCCTCTCTGTTTGACATAAGACAGAACATGGCCTTGTATGGCGTCCTTCGGCTAGGTGAGAGGCCTGGGGAGAGACGAGTCTGTGTTGGTGGGGTCAGGCGGGGTGGGGGCTGGGGTTCAGGGGAGGTGGCTGTGATGGCCATGTCCAGTTTGGGCGTCCCCTCCCTAGGTGCCACAGGTCCATGTTGGACTCCTGCCTTCCCCAGGCCCATCCTGGGCCACCCCAGCAGGGGTCCACATTGCTAGCTCCTTCCTCAATCCTAAGGATATTAGTCCCATTTCTAGAAGGCCAGTCTGCACACCAAATGAAAAACCAGGGAGAACCTTTCTAAAGCATTTTGTCACATATGTTTCAATTCCATCCCAACACGGTCCAGGGACGGAACCAGGCGGCATGGAGAACAGAAGGGCAGAGGGTGAAGGGTGTGGGCAGAGGGTGGAGGGCTCCCTCCTGACCCCAAAACAGCTTCCTGCCATGGAGATTCCTAAGCCACTCACTATTCTCCAGGCTGCAGGCCAGGAGGAGCTGCTCAGGTGTGGGGATGGTAGTACGGCCCTGGCTGGAACCCCGCCCTCCCAGCCCAGGCCCTCGCCTGGCATTAACAAGGTCTCCACCAGTCCACCATCTGCCTTGGCTCTCCTCCCCTCCAGGCTCCCCAGATGTCCACTCCATGGCTCCCCTCATCCGCTCCATCCTTCTGGTGGGCCCCTCGGGCATGGGGAAGAAGATGCTGGTGCAGGCTGTGTGCACAGAAACCGGTGCCAACCTGTTTGACCTGTCACCCAGCAACCTTCAGGGCAAATATCCTGGCAAGAGCGGGGCACAGTTGATGATTCACATGGTCTTCAAGGTCCGGAGCCCCTGAATTTTGTGTTTCTAGTTTTCAGACTTGGGGCCACAGAGCAGGGTGGCTTTATGCTTTGAGGGTTACCCATCTGCCTATTTGGGGGGGTTCAAAAACACCACTGAACTGGTGAGGTCTCCCTTCCAACCCCTGATAGGAGCTGGGGTTCCCCCTGAACTCCTGTGGTAAAGGGGGGAGGAGGCGGGAGGTGGCACAGGAAGACGAGGCCTCAGACGTAGCCCCTCAGACGTAGCCCCTGCCCCACCGTGGAGTTGTGGTGTGGATGGATGTGTGTGCAAAGCACTAGCAGGAAGGACGGGCAAAGCGTGGCGCACCAAGGTCAGTCCCTGCACAGAATCAGCCCTGATCCTGTTGCACAACCAGGTGGGCATGTGACCCTTCCCCAGGGAGTCTTTCGTGTGATTCCTATCCTCTGTCCAGGTGGCCCGGCTCCTACAGCCCTCTGTGATCTGGATTGGAGATGCTGAGAAGACTTTCTATAAGAAGATCCCCAAGGAAGAGAGGAAGGTGAGGAAGCACAGGCAAGAAGGGCTGTGAGGACAGGCCCTGCAGACCCCGCCACCACCACCTGGGCGGCCCCCTGCCCTCCTCGCGCCTCTTCTCCCTGTCTTGAAGCAGGAGGGACAGCCTCTCCCTGCCCCACTGACAGGAGGATAAGGGCATGTGCTCTGAGAACACTGGGCCCTGCAGGCCCAGCCACCCTGCCGACCCCACCCCCCTCTCTTCCCGGAGCAGATGGAACCAAAGCGAATAAAGAAGGACCTCACCAAGGCCTTGCGGCTGCTGAATCCCGGAGACCGCGTGATGCTCATAGGGACCACAGACCGGCCACAGCTGGCTGAGATAAAGGGGCTGTGCCGGATGTATGAGCGGATCCTCCTGGTGCCACGGCCGGATTATGCTTCTCGCTACGGTGAGGCCAGGGCCTAGGGAGATGGGCCAGAGAAGGAGTCCAGTTAACACTGCCCCTGCCAGGGTCCCCACACCTCTTCCCTTCACCCCATGGCCACTACGATCCCACCCTCAGCAGCCCCATGTCAGATCCAGAGGGCTGCTAAGCAAGCAGCTCCACATCCTGGTCCTGGCTTCAGCCCCAGGGACACAGGCACGTCCCTTCTGTTCTTGAGAGTCCCCATTTCCTGGTGTTCATCAGAGAGGACAGTCCCTACCACTCTGGGTCCCAGACCTTCCTGGGGAAGAGGCAGTGCTTTCCAGAGACGCAGCTCCTTCCAGACCCAGGTGGAGGCTGTGAGGCCTGGCTGGCCACCCTGATGCCCCTGCCCCTCACAGCCCGTCCCCTCCTACTGCCTGCAGTGCTCTGGAAGCACATGATAGAAGCCCGGGGAGCTCAGGTGACCCAGAGCCTGGACATCAGTGCCCTAGCCAAGGTGTCCGATGGCTATACGACCGGTCACATTTTCCAAGCCACCCACTCGGTGCTGAATGAACGGCGGCTCCTGCAACTGTCCAAGAGGCCCCTGGTGGCCTCAGAGTTCTTGGGCCATCTGGCGAAGCTAGATCCAGTGTACAGGGAGGAGGAAGAGTCCCTGAAGGTGAGGTGGCAGGCAGGGGCTGGGGGCCAGAAATGCCACCTAGAATCAGTCCTTCGCCGCACGCCTTGGGGTCCTCCCTTTGCTCCCCTAAATGCCAGAAGATGGTCAGGTTAAATGAACATGGACTTCAGCTGAGAGGGGAACAGAAGACCCCAGGGAGGACCAAGGGCTAGGTGTCTGTGGGCAGGACCCCCTCATCTGGTTTACTTGAGGGTGGCTACCTTGGTTGGTTCTGGCACCAGCTGCCACCTGCTTCTAGTACCCACCCCCCAAGGGCAGGCTGGTCTTGGCAAGAGGCCTGGAGGGAGAATGGCTACACTGTGAGCTGGAGTATTTGGTGGGGAGCATGGAAAGCCCTGGTTCTAACAATATTCCCAGACCCCAGAGGACAGGAGAAAAGGCTGTTGAGGAAACAGGACCCCTAAGAAGGGGAGGGGTGGGGACAGGAGAACCGAGGGTCAGGGCCAGTGGACTCACACCCTCCTCTCCTGCCAACCCAGGAGTGGTACTTCAAAACCCCACTGGGCAAGAAGAGTTTGAAATTTATGAAGGACCAGGAGGCCGAGGAGGCCAAGCTGGCAAAGGAGAAGAAAAGGAAGTGATAATTGAGGCCTGAGGAGGCCTGAGATGGGGGTGGGGACTGGGCAGTTCCCCGGGTGTGAAGGGACAGGGGTATAAATGCCAGGTGGCTGGGAATGAGCTCTCTTGTCTGTCCATCTCTGTGTCTTCCCTCCTCTGTCTGTCCTGCCCAAGGCCGGCCTCCTCCACCAGCCTCCTCTCCCAGCTCCCACTGAACCTGCTCCCTGGCTCCTTCCATCTCTCTGCTCTGGCTTCCGGATCCTGTTCGCAGCCTGCCCTGGGCCACCACCCCATGTCTTCATCTCTGTCATTTTTCTGTGCTGGCTCCCAGCTCTCTGGCTCCTTAATGTCCTTAAGGGACAAAAACTAGGAAGGAAACCGGGAAAGAGAGGGAGAAGGAAGATTCACAATAAGTAAGAAAAAGAAAGTAGTGGGCCGGGTGGGGAACTCTGGGGAGCCAGGACAGCCGTGTCCCTGAGGACCAGAAAGCCCCATCACTTCTCAATGTGGCAGATGTGTATGGGGGACCAGCACCTGGGGTGGGCAGCAGACTTCTGTTGCTGCCTGTGGGCTGAGCCCCGCCCCTGGGCAGATGCTGTCTTCCAGAGAGCCCTGGAGGAGTGCCTCACACTTGGGGCATCTCTGCTGCTTGTCACCACTGAGTTCCTTCCCTTGGATTTGGGAGTGGAACTTTCAGGACTCATGAGTGACTTTTGAGGAACAGGAGTAACAGGGGTCCCTGCCTCCGTCTGGGCCAGAGAACAGGCAGTGCAAGGCTGGCATGTAAAGCAGGTGGGTTCCAGCCCTGCCACCAGTTATCTGTGGGGCTTAGGCAAATGGCTCCTCTTCCCTGGGCTGTTCTGTGTCTTGGAGATGCCAGACTTCATGGATATCAACCCTGTTGTCACCCAGCCCTGGGGAACTGAAGCTCCACTCCCACCCCCTCCCCGGTTCCTCCCTAACTCCAGCTCCCAGCCTGGGAGTTCCATCTGGGCATTGTCAATGGGGACAGCTGGGGGCTATTTATGGCTGGCCCCTGCATGCTCCCTGGCTCCGCCCACACTGGCTGGCCTGGCCAGGGCCCAGCGCCACCCACCCAGTCCACCAGCAGTGTCGCCCCGAGTCCTGTTGCTTTGGCTCCTTCTCCCAGAAACCAGCCATGCCTAGGGGAAGGAGCTCTCCTCCCCTCCGGGGACACCATCTGGGGTGCCTCCCCTCGGCCCCTGCCTGCCGGGCCTGGGAAACCCCTTGGTCATCATCCCTGCTGTGCCGGGACATGGCTCTCCAGAATGCCCTCTACACCGGGGACCTGGCGAGGCTGCAGGACCTGTTCCCCCCACACAGTACAGCAGACCTGCTGCTGGAGAGCCGGGCCGCCGAGCCTCGCTGGAGCAGCCACCAGAGGGGTGAGAGGCTGCTGGGGGAGGCCTGAGACCCAGGGCTGGCTGGCTGACCGAGGCACAGAGCTCCCAAGGCCTGAGGAAGAGAAGCCCCTAGCTGCTGCTCCCCACCCCAAAACTTGCCCAACAACCTAAATCTTGGCCCAGGAGAGAAGTCATGTGGAGCCCAGAATAGCTCCTGCTGGACCTCGTGGCTGGGTCAGGCTCCGGCTGGGGACAGAGGGGGCCCTCTGCCTCCTTTCAACCTCTCTCTGCCTGTGTCCTCTACCTCTGCTTCTCCCACCCCCTTTCCCTTCCTATGTGCTCATGAGCTGGTCCCCAGAAGAGTGCAGGGGGCAGGGAGACCCCCCCAGTGACAGACACACCCTCTGTGCCAGGCTGGTGGAGAAGCCCAGCAGAGGGTCCGAGGAGCACACCCAGTCTGGCCCGGGACCCATTGTCACCCGCACGGCCTCAGGACCTGCCCTCGCCTTCTGGCAGGCAGTGCTGGCTGGGGACGTGGGCTCTGTCTCCCGCGTCCTGGCAGACTCCAGTACCAGCCTGGCTCCTGATTCCGTCTTTGACACCAGCGACCCAGAGCGATGGAGGGATTTCCGCTTCAACATCCGCGCTCTGAGTATGGGGCTCAGCATGGGGGGTCTGAGTGGGAGAGGGGAGGCTGTAACGGAGCTCGGGCTCCTGCATCCCCTTCTGCCAGTGCCACCCCCTTGGCTGGCACCTCTTTGCTGTCACTCAGGATCCGAGGTTTTGTCCCTCTCTCCCTAGGACTCTGGTCTCTAACGTATGAAGAGGAGCTGACCACCCCGCTGCATGTGGCAGCCAGCCGTGGCCACACGGAAGTTCTGCAGCTGCTGCTGAGGCGGAGGGCGAAGCCAGACAGCGCCCCCGGGGGCCGCACTGCCCTGCATGAGGCCTGTGCTGCAGGTCACACTGCCTGTGTCCACGTGCTGCTGGTGGCAGGAGCTGACCCCAATATCCCTGACCAGGATGGGAAACGCCCCTTGCATCTCTGCCGTGGGGCTGGTACCCTTCAGTGAGTGACCCCTCACCCCAACCCTGGGTTCACTCTTAGGGGAGGCAAGGAGATCTTCCCAGGGAAGGTAGGGGGCAGGTGAGGGGCTGCCATGCTCTGGGGGCTGGGCTGGAGGAGTTGGGCTGGTGGAGGCCAGGATGCAATCAGTGCCCAAGACAGCCAGCCACTGGCCCTTGAGTCTGCAGTATCTTGGACTTGGGACAGTTTTCTGGTTCCCCAGGGTCAGCAGAGGGCTGTGGCTGTGGCCCAGCTATGTGGCCTGCACTGGGGAAATTGTCCAAATCCATTATGGAGAGATGGTTTTGCTATAAAGTTTTGATATTTTCTGAGCTTATCCCCTGTTTCAGACACTGGAACAGCAGCTGAGTCATGTTCCTGCACTCAGGAAGCTTGTTGTCCCATGATCCAGAGAGGTTGGGGAGACAGAAGTCCTAGTTAGGGACTGCTGTGGTCCCTGAGGGTCTGGCTTTCAACTAGCAGGTTTAGAATCCCATTGGCAGGACACTCTCTGATAAATGAGCTTAAGGGACTGTCACTAACTCAACTCACAAGAAACATGGATACACCCATGTCTCTGTGCTATTTACTCTAAGAAATATTCCTTTGCAACGACCTAAATAATTATGGCCTATGTATAAGGAATGTAGAAGAATGAGTTCCCCACTTGTAATTTTTTAATGAATGTAGAATCTGGGCAGAAGGAGCCTAGACCAACCTGAGGACTAACTCTACGTGCAGTGGAGCCCCCTCTTGGCTGACTGCATACCTGCCAGATTTTGCATCTTGCCCCCCGAAAGACACCACATTATCCCTGCTTGGGCTGGGTATGGTGGTGCACACCTATAATCCCAGCAACTCAGGAGGTGGAGGTGGAAGGATCATGAGTTCAAGACCAGCCTCAGTAACTTAGGCCATAAGCAACTTAGTGAGGCCTTGCTTTAAAATAAAAAATAGGGGGCTGTAGCTGAGCTCAGTGGCAGAGCACTTGCCTAGCATGTGTGAGGCACTGGGTTTGATCCTTAGCACCACGTAAAAAACTAAACAAATAAAGGCATGCTGTCCATCTACAACTATAAATTAAAAATATATATATAGAAAAGGGCCGGGGATGTGGCTAGGTAGTAAAGCGCCTCTGGGTTCCATCCCCAGTACCCCTGCCCCCCAAAAAAATCTAATGTGAGCCATATATACAATTTGGATTTTTCTAGTAGTCCCATCAACAATTGAAAGTGAAACAGATGACATTTATTTCTTAAATTACGGTAAAATACATATATCACAAAATTTACCATTTTAAAGTTCAGTGGCCTGAGTACATTCACATCGCTATGCAACCACCACACCACCCACCCACAGAACTCTTTCCATCTTGCAAAACGGAAGCTCTGTCTGTCCCTATTAAACATGACCCCTCTCCCCAGGCCCTGGCAACCACAATTCTACTGTCTAGAGACCTCATATAAGTGGGATTGTGTATCATTCATCCTTTCGCAACTGGCTTCTTGCACTTAGCCTCAGGCTCATCCATGTGGAAGCATGCCTCAATTTCCTTCATTATTAAAGCTGAATAATATTCCATTACATGTTAATACCACATTTTGTTCATCCTCTCACCTGGACACTTGTGCCGCTGCCACATCATGAATAATGCTGCTATGAACATGGACATATGAATATCTGTGAAACAGATGAGATTAATGTTAATGTATTTTATTTAGCATACCCAAAATGTTGTAATTTCAACACATCATCAATATAAACATTTCACAATCTTTTTGTGGACAGAGTCCTTAGGAGTGGTGTGTCGTCAACACAGCACACTGGCACTTGGACTACCATGTTGCACGTGCTCCACAGCACATGGCTGGTGGCTGCCACGGTGGGCCCATAGCTCTCGGTAACCCACATTTTTAGTTCTGGCTGTGTTTCAGCCCAGTCTCCCTGCAAGCACACCCAATGATAATCACCCCTTCCTTTCTTGAAACAAATGTATTTCAAAAATTATTATGGAACGTTTTGAACAAACAGAATGGTAGCCAAGGTAATAGACTGAGCCCCCTGACCCTGTCACCATCAATACTGCCCACTTCCCCCACCCAATGCTGCCGTGCGGACTTGTATGAGAACACCTTTCAGGCACCGTCTCATGCCGCTCACAGCACCTCATCAGGGATGAGTAGTATTACCCCCAACCCTGCATTCTAAACTGAGCCCAAAGAGGCAGCTTTGAATTTGGGTGCATGTTACTGGGACTCCCTGTGTTTCTACAGTGCAATCTTTCCTGGGCACCCTCTTAGAACAACTCTTGCTGGTCAATTTTAGTTTTGTTGGGTTTTTTGTCCCTATTGTTATTTGTGTTCCCATTGCTGTTTGGGTTCACCACCAGGCCCTGCACCCCCGCTTTGTCCTCCGTTCCCAGCCCACAGAATCTTGCTCTGCTTGTCCTGGCCCTGAATGCCATCYGTGCCCCTGACGAGCTGGGTGAATTCGCATGAGGTCCTCAAACCTTCAGAGACTCAGTTTCCTCCTCTGTGACATGACATTCATGAGAGACCACCCAGGGACCGTGGCAAGGCCCTTGGAAGGGTGCTGCTCCAACCACGCGAGGACTGCTGGTGGCTTTTATTCCCACAGGGTTAGTGGACAATGCCTGCAGGAAGTCCTGGGCTTTCAAAATGGCCACTGTGGGTCCTGCCAGTGAGTGACAGGCAGGACAGAGCCAGGAGCCAGCCAGGGCCCCCTGCTCTGTTACAGACCCGCTTCCCTCCCCGCCATCTCGCTCTTCCTAGGTGTGCGGAGCTGCTCCTGCGCTTTGGTGCACAAGTGGATGGCCGGTCTGAAGAGGAGGAGGAGACCCCTTTGCACGTGGCAGCCCGACTTGGCCATGTGGAACTGGCAGACCTGCTTCTAAGACGGGGTGCGTGCCCGGATGCCCGCAATGCCGAGGGCTGGACACCACTGTTGGCTGCCTGTGACATCCGCTGCCAGTCTCCTGCCGATGCCGAGGCCACCACTACCCGCTGTTTCCAGCTGTGCCGTTTACTGCTGTCAGCAGGGGCAGATGCGGATGCTGCCGACCGGGACAAACAGCGCCCCCTGCACCTGGCCTGTCGCCATGGCCACGCGGCYGTTGTAGAGCTGCTCCTGTCCCGTGGTGTCAGTGCCAACGCCATGGACTATGGGGGACACACAGCCCTGCACTGTGCTCTGCAGGGTCCAGCTACAGCCCTGGCCCAGAGCCCTGAGCAAGTGGTGCGGGCTCTACTCAACCACGGCGCTGTCCGAGTCTGGCCAGGAGCCCTCCCCAAGGTACGGGGGCTGAAGGCATGGAGAGGGCCATGATGTGAGGGGACGGGAGACCTAGACCGCTTGCCAGCTTGTTTTGCAATGCAGCCTGGAACCCAGGGCACATGGGTTAGCCCTTTCTTTCATTCAACAAGGAAGCAAAACCCTAATAGAGGTAAAAGCCAGGGCTCAAAACAGGAAGCGTGTTTGTGMGCACACATGTGTATTCATGTGCACCTACATGCAGGGTGTGTGTGTACCTGTGTCCAGAGTTTGTGTGTGCACGTGTATGGCGAAGGTGGACTGAATGCAGAAGGATTATAAAAGATCCAACAAGACTAAATCAAAGCCAGGCATGGTGGTGAACAATTGTAGTCCCAGAGATTCAGGAGGCTGAGACAGGAGGCTCCCAAGTTGAAGGCCAGACTCAGCAACTTAGCAAGACCCTGTTTCAAAATGGAAAAAAAAAAAAAAGACTGAATGAGTCAAGACTGATGTGGGCAGCATAGAAGGTGAAAGGTCTTCCTCAGGGCCATGAACTGCTGGAAGAGCATTTGGGGAGCTCAGAGTACCAGCGGTATCAGCTGAGAGAGACAGACAGTGGGCACAGGCGAGACCCCTCCCAGGGCAGAGCCTGAGCCCATTTCCTGAGGTTCAATCACCCTGCACCTTTGAAAATGCCCTTCACTGTCATTTTTTGGTTTATATCTTACTTTGCACTAATTTCCCCGGAGTGGGTTCAACCTGAAGACGTGAACTGCAGGGCAGATTCCCCGGCCAGGGACCTTGTCCCCTGTAGTGTCCCGCCCATGGGGGCTACTGTCATGGAGGGCAGGGAAGGACTCCTGTTGTCACAGCAGCTGGGTCAGGCCTGAATTGGCCTTCTGGGAGGGTTGGCAGGTCCCCTCTGGYCCTGCTTAGGGGCTGGTCCCACCCCGCCCCGCCCCTTCCTGGGCCCACCCTACTGTCCCCGCCTCTCCCCTTTGCTCACAAACCTAGAAGCATCTGTCTGGATTCCTAAGCAAGACCAAATAATTAAACAGCCCGAGAGTTCGGCAGATTGGTCTCCCCTTTGGGAAAATACAAGAAAATCAACAATTAACACTAATTAATCTCCTATTAACACCAGATAATTAGGAGAGGAGCAATTCCCTGTAATCTGACGCCGGCTCTGACAGCTAATGATTTCCCTGCCAGGCGGGGCAGGAGGAGGACTTGGCACAGCAGACAGATTCCCGGGGCCCCGCGCCTGCCCGCGGCTCTGCCCTGCCCTGCAGCCTGTCTCGGGGAGCCCAGGGGCCAGCAGAGCAAAGGGCCCCATGTGTCCTTTTCCTGTGATCTGAAAGCCCTCCAGTCTTGGCTGGGCTTCCTGCCTTCCCACGAGGAAGACGCTGGGGCCCATCCGTGTGACATGCCAGCCTCACCAGCTCTCCAGGAGCCACCTTACTGGACTTGGCACTGAGGGGACCTGAATCTGGTTCTGGCTTTGACGCTGTTCTTGTGACCGTAGGCAAGTTACTGAAATCCTCTGGACCCCAAGTTTCTGGCAGGACATGCATCCTCTACTGAGCAGAGACGGAAAGCCATAGGAGCATAGTAGGGACCAGTGGGGGACAGCACACATCAGACACTGTTCAAAGTTATGCCACCTGTGGACTGGGTCCCTCAGTCCTCCAACAACCTCTGAAGCTGGTGGCAYTGACAGAGCAGGCTCTGGAGCCAGGCACACCGCCTCAGTACTTGTTAGCAACCATCGTCTGAAAGGGAGGGGATGCGTGTGGGGGCGCTTGGTGAGCCGCTAGGCATCCCCTAACAGAAGGATCGCTGGGCACAGCAGCAGTGCAGGTGGGAGTGGCAGCCTGGGCTTCCTGGAGGAGTGGGCCTTGGGATGGGCAGTTCTGGGAAGCCTGGTGTGTGGATAGACAGGCTTTACCACAGGGTGGACATCTCGGGCAGACATGCCCCTTCCTCACTGGAGACTGAAATGAAGAGGCCTGTCCYAGACAGACTCGGCCAGGGCAGCTCTGGTAGGCACTTCCCAGAATCAGGGCAAGAAGCAGCGGGCCCGAGTGTGTAAGTTGTGTGCTCTGGGGGTCCCCGTGCCCTAGTCAAGCCTGGGCCTTCTACCTGTTCCCACCATCCGCCAGGGCCCCTGGAAGGCAGGGCTGTCCAGGCCCCTCATGTTGCATGCGACACACATGGGATGTGCACGAGGTATGTGCAGGAGTGGGCACTCAGGGTGGCCATCGTGGCACCTGTGCATGTTAGGCTGTGGCTGTCCATCGGAGCACACGGAGGCTCCCTCCCTGGGCTGCTCCCACTGCAAGTCTTCCTTGCCTCCTCCTGGCTCCAGGCCACCACTGYGGAGACCACCCCATGTGGGACAGTGCTTTCCCTGACCATGCTCAGCTCCTGATCCTACTTATTTTTCGCCACACCCTAGGCCTGTGAGCTGCAAACAATGTTGATKGCCTTGGCTCTGCAATGGAGCTTGCAGACCACAGGACCCTGCTTCTCCTCCTCACCGCGGGACCCCAGGGGTGGGCAGAGTAGGCCCTCCGTGAATATTTTCCTAAAGAGGAATWGAAAGCATGAATCTGGCTCCAACTCTATCCCTACCAAGCCCTCCATTGCTGCCTCCTCTCATAGCTGCCTCTRGCCTTCACTGGACACCAGAGAGACTCTATTTTTTACAGGACTAACCTTTTCACCTAGATAGGAACTCCACCTAGGGACTCCCTTCTAGCAAGCAGAAAATCCAGCACAGAGCCCTGTAGAGGCAGGCAGGACAGCAGGATGCTGTAGTAGGCGGAGGCAAGGAGTCACGTGCCAGGCTTGGACTGCTGGAACAATTTGGGGAAGAGGCTTAACTTTTCTATGCCTCAGTTTCCCTTTGTGTACAAYGGGGACAATAACAGTCCATGCCTTTTAGGAATAAGAATTAAGAGTTCATACATGCTACATGCTAAATATCTGGCATAAACTACGTACAGTAGAAATGTTAGCTGACAGCTGAGCACGGTGGCACATGCCTATAATCCTAGTGGCTTGGGAGGCTGAAGCAGGAGGATAGCAAGTTCAAAGCCAGCCTCAGCAATTTAGCAAGGTCCTAGGCAACTCAGAAAGAACTTGTCTCTAATTTAAAAATATATAAAAAAGGGCCAGGGATGTTGCTCAGTGGTTAAGGCCCCTGGCAGGGTTCAATCCCCAGCACCCTCTCCCCCAAAAAACACATTAGCTGACAGGCCGGAGTAGCAGCTCAGTGGTAGAACATGCACTTAGCATGTACAGAAGTCCGGGGTTCGATCCCCAACACACCCCCTAAATGAAAGAAATAACTGTTGTGTTAGTTTCCTGGGACTGTTGTAAGAACCAGGTGGTTCAAAGCAACAGATCCATTCCCACACAGTCCCCAGAAGGGTCTGGAGGTTCTGGTGGGGACACTGTGATTGCCCACAATCCCTGGTGTTCCTTGGCTTGTGGACACATCACTATGTCTGCGTAGGTTGTCACGTGGTCTTTTCTGTGAATGTCTGTGCCTCTGTTTTCCTTTCTATCCTAATGATCTCATTTTAACTTGGTTACATTAGAAAGACCCTATTTCCAAATAAGGTCACATTCATGGGTACCAGGAGTTAGGACTTCAATATATCTTTTCGGGGAATAACATACAACCCACAAGAGCTCTTGGCCATCCTGCACAGACTGATGGGTACCTGACCTTCCCTGCCTCCTCCAGGTCCTGGAGCGCTGGTGCACGTCCCCACGGACCATCGAGGTCCTGATGAACACCTACAGTGTCCTGCAGCTTCCCGAGGAGGCCATGGGCCTGGTGCCTCCTGAAACTCTGAAGGTCAGATTCCAGGACCCTTTAGCCAGAATCACTCAGCCTGGCCCCAAGAGACTCCCACCCCTAAAGGGCAACCTTGTTGGTCCCCAAGAAGTCACCCAGAGGTCCCCTCCTATCCCAGTTAGTTCAAAGAGGTGGGTATCTATAGGACAGCTGTCCCTGTTAGAAGTGGGTGCCACCTGTCCAAGGCTGCCCTGGCTGAGTCCCTCCTCCTGTCCTCAGAAGCACCAGCACTTCTACTCTTCCCTCTTCGCCCTGGTGAGGCAGCCCCGGTCACTGCAGCACCTGAGCCGCTGCGCGCTACGTGCCCACCTGGCAGGCTGCCTGCCCCACGCCCTGCCCCGCCTTCCACTGCCACCCCGCCTGCTCCGCTACCTGCAGCTTGACTTTGAGGATGTGCTCTACTAGGTGAGTCCTGGTTTCTGGGGACAGCCACAGGGCTTGGGGGAAGGGGATGGGTAGGAGGCAAGAGAGGGGCCCAGGGAAGGGAAACCTCTCCTTCCAGGTGTGCACTGCCTTGGAAAGCATGAAGCACATGCCACAGCCTGCAGGGGGCGCTTTGAACTCAGGCCAGCCAGGTAGCCCTGTCAACAGAATGTCCCTCTCCACAGGCAGGGGTGGATGCTTCAATCCCCACCTGAAAGGGGCAGACAAATCACACATCCAAGTGACATCTGATGAAGACAGCAAGTGGGCCACTCCTCTCCAAGCACCCTCTAGCCTGGATGTGCATTAAAAGTCTCCAGGCCAAGCTGGCAGTGGTGGTGCACACCTGTAATCTCAGCAATTTGGAAGGCTGACACAGGAGGACTGCAAGTTCGAGACCAGCCTCAGCAATTTAGCGAGGCCCTGTCTCAAAATAAAAATAAAAGGGCTGGGGATGTAGCTGTGTGGTTTGATTCTTTTCCAATAAGCCTTCCTTCTCTTGCTGGCTCCTCAAGATGGGCACTAGCAGGGTCCCTGGATCCACCCATGTGCTAGCCCACCTAACCTTCTCCCTTTGGCATCCACCAGCTGCTGAGGGGTCTCAGGCAGCTGCCCGTTGTCCACTGGAAATGGCCACCAGGTGAGTGGGTCAGAAGAGGCCTGAAGGCTTAATGGCTGTGGGTAGGCAGAGCCTCTGTGCAAGGGAGGTTTTGCAGAGAGGGGATAGGACAGTAAAGGAAGGCTTGGCTGAGTAAGAGGCAAGGTGAGGAAGAGCCACCCAAGAAAGAGCGGACATGCGTGTGGGCCCAGGGTGGAAGAGTGACCATGGCTCAGGTGAGAGTAAAAGGCCCAGGTTTGGGAACCAGAACGGGTCTACCTGTTGCTCGATACCGTGTTTCGCAGAGCACCCATGCACCCCTGGCCCCGGCCTCTTTTCTGCTCCTTCCTTAAATTCAGTTGTGTGGTAGCGAAAGTGCCGCGCTGTTAACAGGGCCCGGTTCCACTGTGCTCCTAGCTCTACCATTAACTTTGGTGCAACACAAGTCTCCTACCCCCTGGGCTCACTTTTCTGCATCTGTAAGAGAAAGGACAGTCCCTAGGGGTCATTGCAGCCCAGAGTGGTAAGAACCTGTAGGAGGGCCCAGCAGCCTGGAGCTGGCCCGCACCCTCAGGAGGGAGGGGGAGTTGTCGGGAAGCCACAGAGCAGCCAATCAGATGCCAAGGGTCGCTATACAGTTCCCAGGCCTCCGGAGTGCGCACGCGATGGAGCTCAGCCACTTTCCCGCCAACTGCTGGGAGCCAGACTGCGTGGGGCGAGGCCAGAGGGTGGGGCGGGGCCTGGGGGTTGGGGGAGGTTGGGCAGAGGATCTGAGTGACACCTACGCCTCCCCGAGGGTGTGGAGAGCGCAGAAGAGAAGCCGAGTGGAGGTCAGTGGGTCTGGAGTCGGATCCTGGCCTCAGGAGCCCTGCGTGGCCCAGGCGGCCTGGGCTTCAGGTGCTGGCGCTGTAGAGACCCGGACTGGCCGCACCTCCACGGACCCCTCCTCGCTGCGTGCAGGTCAGCAAGAGGTTTTCTCCTGGACAGTGAGGGGTGCCTGCAGTGGGCACAGGACACAAAACAAACATGAACAAATCTCACTTGTGATAAGTGCTAGGGAGAAATGCAAAAGGGTGATGTGACTGTGACTGGGAGCTCTTTTAGACTGGGTGACCAGGAACCCACTCTTTGAGGAGGTGACGTTGAACCTGAATGATCTGAATGACAGAGGAGGAGCCAGCGTGAGAAGGTGGGGAAGAGCAAGGGAGTGGCAGGAGAGAATGTAGATTCCTAGGGCTGCTCTGGTGCTAGGGACTGGGGAAGGGAGGCCATGGAGAGCTGGGGAGACCGCTTGAGAGACAGGGTAAGATTTGGGGTCCTTTTGAGAACCGATGGGCCCTGCTGATGAAGTGGAGATGGGGCTGGAGAAAGCCCCCAGCAGGATGTCCCCAGTTTTTTTATTTGAACAGATGTGGTGGCACTAATTACCTGGGTGATGGCACTAGTTACCTGGGTGTTGGGTACACTAAACTGGAGCTGCCTGTTAGACACCTCAGAGTGGCTGGGTCCCATGCCATCTGGATCTGTGACTCGGGAGTGCAGGGATGAGGGCAGGTATGGGCATGTGAATGTGGGGTCACTAGCACGTGAAAAAGGGCATCCTGGTTTTCCTGAAAGTCCCGTTTATAAAATTTGATGGAGATTCTGCAGTTCTATCCTCTCTGTTCATTTTGTGCTTCCTGAGCTCCAGGCTTTAGGTACTAGATATAAGGCTGTGAATGAGACGTGATCCTGCCCTCAGTGAATTTTCAACCTGGTCTAAGAAACAAGTGTGTGAACTAGTCAGAATATAAGAAGCAATGAAAGGAGGGCAAAATAACTATGGGAGCAGGGGCTGAGGGCAAGAAGAGGAAGCGGTGGAAGATGGGAATGGGGTAGAGATGTGGGAAGACCTCAGGGGGAGGGGTGGTGCCTGTCACCTCTGGCCAGGGCTGGGTGTGGGATGCCTTTTTAAGAGGGGTGGGGGTAAGGACAACTGGAGTGGTCATTAGAGGGGGATGTGCCTAACCTCTACCGGCGGCGTTGGCCGGTTAGGAAGGTCCTTTCTGGGGTTAGACATCTAGACACTTGCAAGCCAGGGAGCTTGCTCCCCAGCCTTCTGGCTGTTGGTCCCGCGGGCCCAGAACCTCTCCCCGGTAATTGCTTTCCGTAATGTGTTTGCTCCAAACCAATTTCACGCCTCCGTGAGGACTCCGCCCTGCACTGGAGGCACCGACTTCCCCACCACCAACCTACCCGCGTGTGAATGCGTGGGCTCACAAATATAGCACACATTAAACAAGATAGGTACACAGCACTCAGAGAACCTGAGCACAACCATGCACAAACCTACATGCATGCATACTAGACTTTAATACACTTGTGTGCAAAGCTTCTACTCCCCACCCTGAAACTCCTTTCCCCGCCCCAACCCATGCACTCACATCCAAACACCCAGAAGCTTGAACGGCTCACCTGGTCTCTTCCTTTGCCCTCAGCGCGTCTCCTGACTAACGCTAGGGGGCGGTGGAGCACTCCACGCCTCCCTCACGGTTACTGCAGTTACGCGCTGCTGCCACTAGAGGGTATCCGCGGACAGGGCCCGACGCTGCCCACCGTGGGAAGACTGTCCGGCCAATGAGTGAGCTGGACGTACGGACCTGTTGGTTTTTGACTTCAGAACACTTGGCTTGGTTTTAGCCCCCTAAGTGCCGTTGCCAGTATATGAAAGAGAGGCCAGATGATAAGGTCTGACGCACAGGCGGAGAAGGTATATCAAAACTAAAATCCGCAGGAGCATTTCCCAATTGGGTGGAGTACTGGGAATGGGCCAGGTCGAGCACGTGGACAATGAGAGCAGCGCTTTGAGAACTGTTGTAGACAACAATAGCGACACTGTTCGGGGAGGCAGTAGAACCACAGTTTTCTGCTTCTAAAGAACGCAGCCAGTTCTGCTCAGACTGGATAGCGACAGCATCTGTCCTTGGTACTGATGGGACAGTTAGAAGCAGTTTGTGGAGTGCTACTGATTGGGGGAACATGAGTTCTGGACCACTCTGTCCTTCATCTGGTTTTGTGCAGGAAGAACTCATTTTGGATGATGTTCTCTCTATTTACATGAGCCTGGCTTTCTGCATATGTAATAATCACCCTCTCACACGTGGAGAAGTTAAGTGAAGAGAGGCCAAGGTCACATGGCCCAATAAGGGGTCAGAACTTGACTCCAGGTCTTTTTACTCCACCAGTGCCATTTTCCATTTATCATGTGGCCTCAGCTTCACCCTCAATGAAAGGGAGGAAGAGGGAGTGGGCTGCAGTAGTTGCCACTGAATGTTAAGGACTAGGAAGTCACACTTCATGACTTCAGCATGGTAAAGGAACTGATTGTGTAAAAAGCACAGTATCTAGTAAACACGAACCATACCAAGTCAATACAAAGTCCCTGAGGTCTTACTTGTCTCAGTTTAGAGTTGGTGATCTGCTGGGATTTGTTGGTACCAAGCTGTAAACCTGTACTCTCTTTGCCAGCCTGAGCGAGGAGTTCAGTTTTCTTAATACAGTTCTGAGCAATACACATTTGGCATGAGCAAGATGACATACATCTTCAAGACCATAAGGTCTTTATTTTTTTTAAGAGAGAGAGAGAGAGAGAGAGAGAGAGAGAGAGAGA